TATTTGTTACATTCAAGTTAATGACCTCTGTAAATTTACAAATTTGAATTTTGAGAACCCAATAAAAACATTATTTCAGTTTTCCCAGGGGCATTTTGTATGTAACAATTTTAAAAAAGGAACAATTTAATCATGTTATACAGATACTCAAATGAAGCGTGGCTCAGCTTGATTCGTTGTAAAGTTGCAGTGTTATTAGATGTGAGAATCACGCATTCATGGACTGTTTTACTGTCCCATCACAAAATTCCTTTTGAGAGGCAGACAGATCGCATCTTATTTACCAACAGATGTTGAAGCAGTGTCCGTCATTAAATTTTGATTTACTCTACGGAGGATTTTGCTTGTCCCAGGTTACCTGAAAGATGTGCCGAACAATTTCATTATATCGGAAATTTTGAGATGCTTTATTACCCCCGAGTTTGTCACAAAGTAAAGTCTTGTGCAGTCAACTCTTTTAAAAATGATTCAATTGAGTTTAGCCACTTGAAACGGAAAAAGCAGTTTGTTTGAGCAAGCGTATTAAAACAGTGCATTGTGGGACCACAAAGTATCCTGGCCGGGGATAACTAAGCTCTCGGCACTCAGCATCGGAGAATGCCCATTTATCTTCATCAAACTGTCATGTAGAAAAAGTCAAAGTTAACCGTCAACACGATTATAAACCAGGTGGAAATTGCTCTATGCATAAACACATGAAAGGGGCTTTAGCTCTATATGAACTTGGTTGACAGAGTTCTCGTCAAAATAAAGATCGGTAAGGGAAAATGACAATAAAATATGAATTTGTGGTCCACCCTGTCAGGAACAAATTGAAACAAAGTCTTGAATAAATGGGAAAAGAGAATTTTGCATTTCTGTGGGTTTGTTTTAGGTACAGGCGTAATACTCTGTTGAAATGTTGAGATTAGATGTTGTGCGGGCTATAATGAAGTTTCTTCTCGGAAATGAATGCGCCTGATTGGTTAATCTTTTAGACAAGAATTTGAATTGCAGATTTTCATCCCTACTGATAATATGCTTTCATACTCCTCCATGATATAGGACTTGAAAAAAAAAATCCACTAGTGAATGAAGTCTTGTTTTTAAATTATTTTTTCAAGTTGTCATTTATCGTATAAAAAGAAAGTTTCAAGAGCATTATTAAATCAGCAAAATATCTTTTTCCATTTATTTTCTGATGGATCCCTTTGTAAATATTAGCAGACTTGAAATACTCCCATAAACTTTACAAATATTCAATCAAGTTTTTAGCTTAAGTTCAGCAAATACAGACTTCACTGCATGCTTAGTTCAGATAAGATAATGCTAACAAATAACCTAGTTACTTCCCTTAATTTGATACTTTCAAATTAGTCTGATTTTTGCTATTTCTTACTTTGAATCACAGTGCTTCATTGCTTTATATAAGTTAATTTATTGGCTAACTCCGAATATGGTGAATTAGCCATTTGAAACATACAGAACTTCAATGTAAAAATACAAAACTTCAGCTACAAACAGTATAGAGCAGGTTTTGACTGCACAGATACAGTATAGAGTCTGGTCAGACTGCACAGAAACAGAGAGCCTGGTCAGACTGCACAGATACAGTGTTGAGCCTGGTCAGACTGCACAGATACATGTACAGTAAAGAGTCTGGTCAGACTGCACAGATACAGTATAGAGTCTGGTCAACTGCACAGATACAGTTTTGAGTATAAAGCCTGGTCAGAGAGCACTGTCGGGGCTGAGAAACAGTGTTGAGCCTGGTTAGACTGCACAGATACAGTAAAGAGTCTGGTCAGACTGCACAGATACAGTAAAGAGTCTGGTCAGACTGCACAAATACAGTATAGAGTCTGGCCACACTGCACAGATACAGTATAGAGTCTGGTCAGACTGCACAGATACAGTATAGAGTCTGGCCACACTGCACAGATACAGTAAGAGTCTGGTCAGACTGCACAGATACAGTAAAGAGTCTGGTCAGACTGCACAGATACAGTAAAGAGTCTGGTCACACTGCACAGATACAGTATAGAGTCTGGTCACACTGCACACATATACAGTATAGAGTCTGGTCAGACTGCACAGATACAGTAAAGAGTCTGGTCAGACTGCACAGATACAGTATAGAGTCTGGTCAGACTGCACAGATACAGTATAGAGCCAGGTCAGACTGCACAGATACAGTAAAGAGCCTGGTCAGACTGCACAGATACAGTATAGAGTCTGGTCAGACTGCACAGATACAGTATAGAGTCTGGTCAGACTGCACAGATACAGTATAGAGCCCGGTCTGGCCACACTGCACAGATACAGTATAGAGTCTGGTCACACTGCACAGATACAGTATAGAGTCTGGTCAGACTGCACAGATACAGTATAGAGTCTGGTCAGACTGCACAGATACAGTATAGAGTCTGGTCAGACTGCACAGATACAGTATAGAGTCTGGTCAGACTGCACAGATACAGTATAGAGTCTGGCCAGACTGCACAGATACAGTATAGAGCCAGGTCAGACTGCACAGATACAGTATAGAGTCTGGTCAGACTGCACAGATACAGGCTGTTCAGGCTGGCCTGGCTTTATACAGATGACAAAGGCTCATCATTTTCAGTTCAAGCAGTTAAAAGATTAAGAACTTTTCATACGGTAATCTATAGCAGAGATGCAGCCCTTGGAATTGGTTATGGATTAATTTTTGGCAACTTGTATAAGTTAAATTATATGAAAAGTGACCAAATTAGAGCTACTTAGTAGGAAGTTTGATACAAATAACTTAATAAGATATTTTTCGTGTTAACTTTTTTTTTCAAGAAGTAAAGTAGTAACTGAAAGATATTGTTTGTGCTTGATATATTAAATTAATGTTAAGAAAGTATGGATCCCTTTCTTGATATTAAGGTCAGTGATTATTTTCCTCAAAATAGAGGCTAACAAAATTGCTGATAATTCCCATTTTAAAGTCAAGAAAATTCGAAAAATTAATAGGATTTTTACAGATTTTTGTAATTGTTTTTTTTGTACCTGCATCATGGGGCAGTGAATAACTCCCTTTTCTGTCCATTGAATAGAAGGAAAGTTTTAATGCTAACTTTACAGTTTTTTTCCCTTCAAATTTTCAAAAGTTTCAAGAAAATTGTCAGATCAGCTTGTAGGTCATGCAAGACCAACTGAAATAAAATGTCATGTAAATTTTTCAGCTGGTCTGGTATGTTCAGGTGACAGCTTGATAATATAAATTGGGGTTTTACCATAAAATAAAAATCGGTCAAAGACTCCTACAAATCTCTATTTGATCTGACAAAACATTTAGGTTTGCCTGAATAAAATGTCAGTTGTGTTTGCCATTAGTTTTTGCAAAGCCTGCAAAGCAAAGAAGAAAAAAAATATGGAATTAAGACAGTTTTGGCAGTGGTTTCACTCTGAAGTAATTAAATGAAATGATTGTTTAATAAGTGTCAAGAAATCAATGAACATGGTTGCAATATCTATGCAGGACACCTGTTTAGCAGCGAGTACTTTTCAATTATGATCCCCCGTCTTTGATCCACCACTGAATTAGCTCGCCTTATCTGATACCAGCGAAATGCACAAACTTTATGATATCCACCCGCAGTAATTTTTCCCAAATCAATGTTCTTGTGCAAATTTCACTAATTCCTTATTAAACAGTTCTTTTCAATCCCTGCGACTGATTTTCATGTTTTATGGCATAAACCTGCCAAATCGCAAAATGGAAAGTCGTGATTAAATCTGGTTTAAAATCTTTTTTTTGACAAATGTATGATTGGGTACATATCAGAATGTCAGGAGATCCACGCAAATTATTTTTAAGTAAAATATTGTGCTATCGGGTAATTCACTCGGATTTAGCGGATAATGATAAAGTGGACTAGAGTAAGGGAGCCATGTTTTCAGGATTATGGTGGATTACTCGTACTCGACTAGATCAGTATATACCCTAGATATAAAGATAGTGAAGTGTATCTAATGTCTCTTCAAAAAAGTTCACTTTTACACACTAGCAAACAATCCCAAAATATGTACGTCTGTCAGATATCTGGTCCCGAGCCCTTTATTTACCTATCAAAGTTAATTGTATCAATAAAACAATGGTACTTGATACTTACTTACATTTATGAATTTAATTTATATAATCATGTTCTTTAATTCTGTTATCATAAAAAAAAGTTCAATTTTATGTTGAACCATAATTGGTCTTAAATTGATATAATTATCTTCCACAAGCTAGGTGTTCTTATTACATTGTAGTTTGCGTTTTGAAGGGAAGCTGGTGGGAGAAGCTGGGGGAATCACATTGCAAAAAATATTTTATAAATTTTGTTTATAAAGTTGTGCAAAAAAAATCACTTTAACCTTACATCTCCCTGTCATTCTTTAATCTTCTTTTTTGTCTGTCTCATTTGTTATTGGAAAATAATTATATTTTAAAAATTGTCTCAACCTGGTCATTCGTCTGACTCAATGTAAATCATTTTCTAAGTCATTATTAACATATTATAAATTTTATATTGAAGGAAATGGAAAGAAAATGTAAACCTTTATATAAAAAACCCTTCAGTTTAGGGACTCAACTGAGTTTTTTTTACATGACTGGTTTGGAAATAACAAGATTAATGTAGGTCTAGATTATGATTAGCTTGTGTGCAAAATTTCAAATAATCTGCCAACTCCGTTTTTAATTGTGAAAATAACAAAAAATTGTTTTTGACTCAAACTGCCCTAAGAATAGCATAAACTGTCCAAAGAATAGCATAAAATGCCTAAAAATAGCATAGAAATTTTCATTTCATTGTTATATGATATTTTTTAATTTTCTAAAAATTGTGTTTTTCTGCTTTTAGAGCCCCAACCCCAGCTGATATATGTAAGAATTCAAATTTTAGGGTTTTGGACCTCGGTGCCCTTTAAAACTTTTTTGGTCAAAGCTTGAAGTAGAAATATAGAATATAGATCTTATTGTAAAATATTTATTTTCGTTATTTCAGAACAGCGTAAGAAGTTAATACTTGATGGTCAGACTCCACATTGTCCTGTTTGCGGCCTGACTTTACGTCCCGGGGAGACCGAGTCGCATCTACAAGCCGAACTGGAGAAACTTGATAAACTCTCGTCCAGGTAAAACATGCATCCTTTTACGCATTTGAAATTACTAGTTTTAATCTCAAATTATTATTTTCTTTTGAAATTTAAGATTAATTTATGATTTTATGTTCTGTAGGTTTTACATGTTAGTGTATCGTTGGCAAAACCTGATATTTTAAATTTTTTCTTGATCTTTTTAAAGCGATGTCTGCAGAAGTAAAAATAATGCTAATTTTTAAAATGGAAAGGGGGAAATGTGTGACCTGATTTAACATTCTATCATTTAGATTTAATGAATGAGAGAATATTGTATGGTAAACAATGGTCAGTCATTTCTGCATGATATTTTTATGCTGGTAATAAAACACGGCATTCAAATTTCCAATTTGGTTTAGATTTGATTCTGAAGAAAAACAACAGATTTATTGTAGTTGGAGCGAAGTTCGGTTAATTTGTCGCACCATCTTTGCCTGTTTGGGTAACTTGCAGTATTGTTTGATTGTTTAGAGAGTGTGTGACAGATAAAAAGATCTGCGTGGATAATAGAGACACCAATCAACAATGTTGAGAATCTTATGACCCCGATTCTCGTATCTTTGTTGACACATCTGGAGCACGCGATTGGTTCAGAATGACTCTTTATGGACCCAAACTGTCAGTAAAGGATTCAGCGGGACTATAGATTGGGTTTAACAGAGATAACTATATTGGGTTATTCCAAGAAATGGCCCTGAAATGATATGATTGTATTGGGATTTGTCATAATTATCAAAATTCGTGAGACATATTTAATCAAGTCTGCACGGAAGGCACACAATAGAGGATTAAGACGGTTTATAAATAGATGATCTTAATACTGGTGGGATGTCTGCAGTGCTTTATTGAATATTGTTTGAGTTACTTTTTTGCATTATTTTGTTTTACTGTTTTTCATATATCGCCATCATGTGAAACATTATTGAAGGAAATGTAGTTAATTATTCTTCTTCGTACATATGACTATGTAACCAGTAATTTCTTTAATTTAAGAAGCATTTTTTATCACTCATTTCTTGTTTTCTTTGTTGTTATCATTTGTTTCCTTTCTAAGCATGACTTTAAATAGAATTTGATAAATATACTCAGATGCTCAAGGTCGGTTGTTCCATTCAGGCTTTCTGAAATTCAGTGTTCGAGCGACGTAATAGAGCCTCCTAGTCTTATAATGCTGTACACAAACCCATACAAAATGACATATTTCCAGGCACAAGTGAACTTGCAGATTTGATTTGGTTGAATATAAGTTAAAAATAAGTGCTAAAGGCACACATGCCATAATTAGGATTTCTCCAGAAATTGGGTAATTGTCAGAGATTATTTCTATCCCCGATAAAATGAACTTCTAACAAAGATAACAAATGTAATTTCATGTAGTATTAATTATTTATGGTGACATCATTTTTCCTTTTTTCAGAAATACAAGAAAATCAAGGGAAAATACACCACAAGGCAGAAAAGTAGGTCTTTTTAATTTCCCTCATTAAAAAAATAAAATAAATAAAGAACAACATTATGTAATTTCATTGAAGTAAGTACATTTATTGAAAATTTATTTTATCTTTCCAAAAATGTATGAGCTTAACAAGTTAACATTGTTGTTTGTAAATATCTTCAATTTATACCTTTAAAAAGGCTTTTTTCTGATCTCATTATGTTATACTTATATAGATGTCTTTGTATTAAGTATCAAATACTTTATTAGTGGAAAAAAAATACTTATAATTTGTAAAGAATCTTCACACAGCTTGGCGTTAAATAAATCTTAAATTGTTGGGATATAATTTTGACTGAAGTGATAAAAAAATATTTGAAATATATAGACCTGACAAAAACTTGAACTAGTCGGTGATAAGATCAAAAGTTAGTCGGCGATTTACACTGATACCCGAAAACTGATGTTGTTTTGTGTTTAACACTTGTAAAACTAGGTTTTTATGCGGACAGTTTATAAATCAATGTCACATTGTTAAAATATATGATACTATGGTTGATGCGACATTAGATTAAAATATTACACGGCTTTTTAAAAGCAAAATCTGGTTTCTGTCGTTATTATTCAAAGCTTCGTTATTAGTGTCCGTTTGAGATGACGCAGTTTGGCGCAATTACTTAATTTTATTCATTTTAAATTTTAAACTTTGGTTGTTTATATTTATAATATATAAAATCTTTTAATGTATTATTTATACTTTAAAAAAGGTTAAAGCAAATATATTTACCGGTATCTTTTTCATATGATATGGTTTAAAATATTAAATAAGTCAAATAATGAAGTAATTCTAATATCTCCAAGCCAATTTTAAATTAGCAAAACATAATTATTGAATTATACCAATTATATTTCTAATTTATACTTAAGCATGTGACTGAAATTTTTATGCAAAATTTTGATCAAATTGAAAATCATAAGGTCTTTTTTAACCAAACCCAATATTTTGCTGCCTTTATTAAACATTTCATTGAATTTTAAAAAGAAATCCCGGTAAAGAAAGAGTGATTTAATTTTTTTTTTCAACAACCCCCAAAAAAACCAAACTTTCAATTATTTTTTTTATAGAAGGAGATTTATTTTTGCCTAACTTTATCCAGTTTATCCCATGGAAATTTTATTTTGAAATATATTAATTTGACAGGCAACAATTTATCTTGCGGCCTAATATTTTAACTTAATAAACCTAATCTTTATATCAGTATATTTTAGTTTATACAGATTACCTTTTAAAACTTACAAAGATTCCCGTATAAAACCGTCTGACCGGAGCTTGCAAAATGAGGTAGCTAGCACATGGCCATTACATTCCATTGTATTTATATTGTGTCCAGCGTATGACGGCTTATATTTTGACAGTCAGTAAATACTTTGTTGATAATGACCGTCCCGTGTGTCACAAAGTGGCTTAAAATTTACTCGAAAAAATGCAACTTATTTTAACAATTTTTTTTTTTTCTGTGTGATTTGATACTCGTAATTTATTTCATATTAAAAATTTCAGTTAGGGAAAAAATTGAAGAAAAAAGAAACTTAAACTTCCATTGAAACTGAAAAAAATGTGAACAGAAATGATTATATTTGTGTTTGAAATTTGGAAATAAAAGATTGAGTCACTTATTTATATTCCTTGTTTTTCATATTACTTTTATAAGAATTCTTTTAAAAGAGATTCTTTTTATCGGTACATTTTTTTTTCATGTATTTTAAGGAAGGTTTTTATTTACATTTCACTGTCAAGATCTTATGACAAATCTGCATAATTATACTGGAGCATTTTTAATGAATATAATATACATGTATTTTATTTCTTTTTTGCCGTAAAAAATATTTATTGGAGAAAAAATATATATTTATCTTTTACTTAAATGTTTATGTAACTGTTAAATATATGTAAAGAAAAGATTGACTTCATATATTAAGGCATAAGGCCTAATTAAACTAAAAATTAAGCTTTGCAAATAATAAACGAATTTAACCAAATGCACTGAAGTTTTGTAAAATTACTGAAAATATTGCCAGCTTGGTCAGATATGTTAGTTGTTGAGTTATATTAACTTATAAGGATGAGATGATTTAATAAGATACATTATAATAGAGTGAATAGTTCTATAATGGGTATAATTTCCATAAGTATTTCAAATATACAGTAGATTAAACAATAGAAAAGTGTCATTTGGGTATTCTTATAAAAAGTTTCCTGAAAAAGAAAAATGATGATAAGTTCCAAATGATTTAGATGGAACATTTACATTAATAATAATATTTTGTTCTAGAACACTTTACTATCTGCTGTATAAATATATGAACCGCGTCACGACAAAACCAACGTAATGTGTTTGCGACCAGCATGGATCCAGACCAGCCTATGCATCCGCACAGTCTGATCAGGATCCATGCTGTTCGCTTACAGACCCTATAACAAGTAAAGAAACTGCTAGCGAACAGCATGGATCCTGATCAGACTGCGCGGATGCGCAGGCTGGTCTGGATCCATGCTGGTCACAAACGCATTACGTTGGTTTTGTCATGACGCAGCTCATATGTAATATTGGATCATGTATCTCACACTTGCCAACATCATCAGTATACACAATTTTTGTGGTTTGTTGTAATGTTTGATATGAAGTACTATCACTGTAATTATTTATTGTACTACAGACCTTCCATTATAGACCAATTCACTTTAAGAAATGTATGAATATTGACAGTCCATGTGAATCTTTGTATGTGTTATGTGAAACATGACAGAATTAAGTATTTTATTTTTATAACATAAATTACCCAATTACTAAAGCAGTTAGTGGAATTTCTGCATATAATGACCAATTACAGGTAGTTTCTGTTGGCAGTGCTTTAGTTATATAACGCAAATCTGGACGCGTGCTGCTTTAAAAGAAAAAAATGAACATATCCAAACTGATAATACCACTTCTTTATTTACATATAAAATTTGATATGCTTGTAAAATACCATCTTGGACTATATCAGATTTAAGTGAATCTTGTATTTCTCAATAATTAGCAGTTAAAAAATCAGTTTTTGCTAAGAGTTCGTAATGGGAGGAAATACAAAATTTCAACAAAATTTTCCTTTCTTTTTGCAGTGAAATTAGATAACAAAATTTCAGCAAAAGTATCTCTGGTTTTTTGCAAAGAAATAAATGGTGCCCCCAAAAAATTAATGAGGTTCAGTAGAATAAGTTTATTTTCACTTTCAGTCTGACAATTTGTTTTGTTTTTTTCAATATAGATTACCGAAAGTATGTAAGTGAATAAGTTGAGACGGCTAATTTTGTTTTTACTGTTGAAAAACTAGAACTGATTGCAGTCTTGAATGCTGTATTTTGTAATGCTTCTTATATTTTTAATTGACATAAAAAAGGAAAAAGACCTAGTATAAAGATAAGGCATCTGCATAAATAAATGCTTCATAAGGTAATGTTGGCCATTTTTATGTCATTTTATACTGTCATTTCACATTTTTAAACAGCTTGTGAGAGGCCTGACGAGCAACTAAGAAGTTGAATACATTGAAATACATTATTTTGTGTATAAATGATAAAATAAAGCGTTCCTAGTTTCTATTTCATGACAGAATAATACCAAATTTATGCAAAACAGTACAGTAAATATTTTACAACTTTTTAATAGATTTTTTTTCACTTTTCAACCTGAGGACAAAACTGGTTTTATCTATTTTAACTGTTAATTTATTTTATTTTTTTTAATATTGAGCAGCCCATTGATTTTAAAAAATGTTACAAGTGTAAATGATTGTCTGTGCAGTCTGGCCAGTGACCAGTCTAAACTGTCAACACCTTCGTTTGTAAAAATTTTAATTTTAAAATCCTTTAAATCAATTGTGGTGTTAAGGCAAGCCTCGTCCATTATACAAATAAAGGAGGGTTGGTTAATAAAGATTAAAATAAAGAAGTTTTCAACTACTTCACTGTAGAAGTTTTTATTTGTACAGCCCATGATTTTAACACAGTTTGATGTTATATTGGACTGGGATATTGAATTTTTTTTTTGCCATAAAAAAAAGATTCACGCAGGTCTTTAAAAGAACTATTCATTATTATATAATTATTAATACGAAAAATTTAGTACATCTGAAATGTGTCATTTATATTATACTTAATGATAAGATTGTGTGATTGTGTTTCAGTAAGAAATATTGGTTTTCATTTATTTTTCAGACGTTGCCGTCCCCATCTGGAAGTCGAGGGAAAGATTCCCCTGCTATAGGTGCGGCATCGCAAGCTCGGTATGAGGTAAGTAATATTATAGTTTAATTGTACGCTATAATAATACAATTTTTTCCGCCTCTTTTGTGAAGTGTGCACATAAATATATAAACAAAAACTTAGCTTCATAAATGTCTGTAATTAGATACAGTTTGAAACAGTATCCCAAGATACCATATAAATAATAACATATCATATTTGTTAACAAAAAATTTATTTTTTCTAAAAATTATTGGCATAATAATTATGTTAATTACAGAAAATATTACGAGATGTGTTTTTTTATAGAATTAAAGTGTCTGTTACAAGTGGAAACTGTCAATTATGTGTTGTGTATAAGTTTTAGCGGGAAATATTACCTACATAATATTAAGACAAGTTTTCTTGCGATAAATATGTAGACGATGTAGTGAAACGAGAAATTCACTGCTACAGAAATCCCCGTCTGTCTGTCCTTATTAGATTATTTGTTCCTCTTGACGATTAAGTACCTCATCTGGACAAATGCTATTGAGATGATCTGATTGGATAAATCTATGTCTGTGTATCCAATCAAATTGTAATAAATCATTTTCTGCGGTGACAGCTTTAGTGCTGTTTGTTTTATATTGTTCCATTAATTAGTGCATCTGTGTGAAAATTTGCGTCTTTCTTGAAGTATTGTTACAGTAATTTGGTCTTAATCAATTTACCATGTGAAGAAGTCTTTGATGAAGAATAACCCCACTTCCAAATATGGTCGCATACCGACCGCTAACAGAGTTAATTCTGAATTGATATGTTAAGTTGTTAGTCCACTAAAGGTGGATATCTGACAGGTAATTAGGAAACTTTTCTGAAGATCTTATTATCAAATAATAATGCCGTGCTAAGATTCAACACAACTGAATTATGGGATTTGTCTTGATAACAATGCATTATGGGATTGTTTAGTTATGAGATTGCATCATGGGATAGATGGTTATTGAAATTGTTTATTTATGGATTTTCAGTCTTGTACATCATACGTTCTAGTTAATCCGTAACCATCAGTTAAATGATAATTTTCCTGTACAGTTAAAAGCATTACAGATTGCATGAATTGAATTGATGCATTCATAAAGTTTTGTGGTTAAAAGTTTTGGTTTAAGATAAAGGTACAGTTTACTAGAATCCCATTATCAGTGAAGATCTACCTTCACACAATACTGTGATCGTTACTTTTCATTATGTAAATACATCATTACGCAGATTTGCAGCGTATTTTAAGGTTTACATTAAGATAAGGTGCGAATTGACGAACAATGTTTCTTCGGTAAGTCACGATGATTATTTTATGATTAAGACATGACATTCATGCATTGACATGGTGGAGAGTCGGAGATGACATGAGATCAAACGCAAATTGTTAGATTTCACCGATCACAATTCACGACACAGTTACTTCAAAGTTGATGTTTAATCCACATTTTAGCTGGGATTGAAGTCCATTCAGAGAGTAGCTTATCAAAAATTCATTAGCATTTTTGCTGTATTCAAACTGTAATGTTTGAACTGTGAATGTACATTTTTTTTTCGTGGAGAATAGAAATAAATTTGGGGACTGTAATGATTTTGGAATGATGATTTAATGAGCTTGAAATTTGCAAAGTTCTTATACCGCCACCTGCACAACATACAAAATCTTAATTGATGACATTTATTTCCCAGTCTTTATTTTAAAAAGTAAAATATGCCTTTCTTATTAAACAAAATCATTTTTATAGATGAAAAAATTTTTGTCTTAATTTTTTAAAGCCTCAAATAGTCTTCTTCAAATGATAGGTAGTTTTCATATAGATTTGCCTTTTTAAGTTGCTTTGCAATAGGGAGCATAGAGGTACTCTTCACCTTGAAGGTAAAGATCAAAAGAAAGTAATAGGGCTAATTAGCACGCAGACAGTCCCTGTATCTCTCTGCTACAAAGCGATCAGTGTTTATATTGCTAATAGGTTCGGGCAATATGATGTCATGATTTGAATAACACCCAGTAAAGAACCTGACAAATGGTGTGATTTTCTACGATTTCCACAATAAAATGTGACAGGTTGTGCGGCAAGTGACGAAGAAACATATTGACGGCCCCTCCAGTTAGAAAAGATCCTCTTGTCCCTCAACATTATCGTATTACGTCTGTAACACTTGAAATGTGTCCACATGAATTTAGATTACGTTTTAATCGAGAGTTTGGACTACTTGTGGTATCTTATTTACATTGATCATAGTATAATTTATAAGAAAATCGCTTCTCGTCTTCCATTTGTTGTTTCTTTGTTCTCCAAATCAATCTAGAAGATAGGGTTAAACATTATCTATTAAGTGCGATGTTTAAGTTTAAATTAGCTTAGAAGAGTAGTAATATTAACTCTTCAATGGAAAAAGATTTCAATTTGAACTTTTAATGTTTTATATTTTTTATTTGTTTTCTACTATTTATGTATAATACAGGCAGGTGTCCAATTTGTGACTGCTATTGTGAAATACAATCGGTGACGTGCCGTCTTTAAGTGTATAAATTCTATGTGAATGCCATCATGCTAGTTTTGCAAGATGAAAATATCTAAATTATCAGTGCCTTGTAGTGTTCGTATTTTAACCATTGTTAAAGTATTGACACTTGCAACAAATCTATTCATTAAAAACTATGGTTACACAAAAAAACCCAGCTAAATTAACTTTCTTTTTTAACATTTTGACCAAAATTAGTTTTTGTACATCGGCGATGTTACCATTCTATTCTAATATGTTCGAGATTTATTGTGCTGTGTAATTAAAGGGACATTAGGGACATTTGACACTAGTCTTGTGCCCGCCTTGTAGTTTCTACACCTTCTCACCTATTGAGTCCATTGTACTCGCTACGATTTCTATTTTATCCGATGAATCACTCACATTATCTGTAAACCCGATACTTTTAACTCCCGCAACTGAGTGAAATATTGCATGAAACAGAGTAATCAGTATAAGAAAGATGCTTTCCAGTTTATATTGTACATGCATATATTGTATATGATTTTTTGTAAACAAAAAAAAAGGAAGAAAATTTAACTCTTTAGATTTTTTTTCTTGTATATGAATGACAGGCCATTAGATATTGCAAACTTCATTCTTTTACTTAAAACTGAACATTCATGCTTGTGGGTGAATTTTAAGGGTGTGCTTGGGGTCCTGGGGTGTTGTCATACGATACATTGAATATGATGATTAGATTTTATCATATGAAGGATTGGAAATTGAAGACGTGCCGTAGGTGACTGCATATATTCTGCCACTGATATATTAAACAAGTAATTTATTGTTTTGATATTGATGCATCGAGTGCATTTTCCGTGGTAGAAAAATAGATTTTTATCTTCGTATTGTAATCCGCGTCAGAATGACATTGTGCGGTTGTTTTTTAACATAAAATATTCAGCTTAGCTTTCAAAGGATGTTATTCAATTTATTTTAACTTTCTGTTTTTATGTGCGGATCATATTTAGAAACATGAAACACTAACGGTTTGAAGTTAGAAATAAAATCTTTTGTTATGCATTTGATAAAGTGGCCAGCTCTCTTAAGTAGAAAGTATATAAAGACTTCAAGAAAATTCTATCGTCTTTCAATCTGTACAGTTGTCATGTATTAATTACGCGATTGTCCAAATATTCCTTTTGAAATACTGAAAAAAATGCTAATAAAGTATGTTGAAGTATAATTCAAATTTCCCTAAGGCAAAGTATTGGCTGAATTTTCAAAGGTAGAATTACATACAAGAAAAGACTGAATTAGGAATATATAATGATTGAAATGATCATTAGGGATAGAAAATGTTGAAATTAATGAAGAGTGTCTTTGCACGTACTAAATAGCCTGCATTACTCTTAATTTCATGCAGAGAAAATATAAATCATGTATTGTAGAAGACTGTCTAATGTAAGCTTCTAGGGTGCAATGATCAGGCTGAAGAGTGATTGTCAGGGACTGTAGGTGTATTTTTTGCAATGTCGTCAAGTACAAGGTGAAATGTACGGGCATGTCTGAAGAAAATAATAAGAATTATTCCTTTCAAATATTAAAAGCTTAAGAATGAATAATACTTCTAACGGAAACGTCTTTTTATTAAAAGCATATTCTGTTACACTTGTTATGAAACTGGCTTTAAGCTGGTAATAAAAGACTGTTTATAGAGACATTATATAATAAATGAGTCAACTGCACACTTATTTATCCATGAAGTAAATAGAAATGATTTATGAGGTGAAGTTGGAAGGTATTTGTGGAGAAAACAGGTTTAAGCTGGTTCAGAGGCCAGGAAAATACATCATGTAAATGACTGCTGTGAGATGATTTAAAGGATGCCAAAACCAATCAAAGAAAAAGAAATAACCCAAATTTATTTTAATAAACAAAAGGATATAAAATGTCCCCCCCCAACAAAATTTAAAAAAAAAACAAATGTAAAGGAAATGATCATGCACATAACAAGTATAGGTGTAGTTATAGAAAATTTGAGTGAAATAAGTTTAGTCCTTGAAGTATTTTTATTGAAAATTTTAAGATAACTCTAGTTTTGTCTTGGCCTACAGTCCAGTATGAATTATCTACCCTTGGCTACAAAGAGTTGAAAACTTACAGAAAATTCCTATTAGCATTGGACAGAATTGTTGTGGAACAGCATTTGTAGTAGTCTAAAATAAATATTGGGGAAAAAAGTATTAAGGTAAAAAAGGGAAAAATTAACACCAACTGCAAAAATAAGGTAAAAACAATTTATAAAAATTAAAAAAAACATAAATGTGTTGTGATAAAAATTTCATTTCTACTATTTTATTACAGTTTGTCATTTACTTTCAAATAATCTATGCAACATCTATTGATACATTAATATGATTTTATATTTCCAGAACTATTTAAGGATCCAAAATAACAGACAAGCAAGACTTGGAGGTAAGTTTTTAAAATCAATTGGTTTAAGTCTTCTTATACGCCGTTTTAAAAACAAGTCATATTAAAGGAAAGGCCTTGGCGGGCAGGCGGTGTCAAATTTTGTCCAAAGCATATCTCCTTCACACATTGAGGGATTTTATCAAAACTACATAGAAATGTTGGCCACTATGAGAAGCTGTGTCGGGGGCATGAATCAGATCTCTAGGTGTGAGGTCAAGGTCACACTTATAGCTCATTGAAAATCTCTTGTCCGGAGCATGTCCCCTATATGCATATCTATTATGGCCACATCTCTGTCAAAAGCTTTTGTTATGGGTGAATTTTGCAACTTCTATTGGGTAAAAGTATATATAATTTCACTTATTACATATTAGTTTGAAATTGTTTTATGCAAAGTTATGCACCCTTTTTCAAGCTGTGGTTGACCTTTTGTTTTAAGGTTTATTTTGTCAGAAACTTTTAAAGCTTTTCACTTCAAACTTGATATACATGTTCATTATCGAAATATGTTAAAATTTCAGAAAGGTAGAAAACCGTAAAAGAAAATTTTTGCAAAGTTATGCCCCTTTATTTTACTTACTATTTTTCTTCTAAGGTCATTATCTTAAAAAAAAAATTGTTTAGAAATTCTCATCTTTGTTATGGATCATCTGTTTTAAGAATTTTTTACAGGAAAGAAACTGTTTGTGAATCCTTGATATGTAAATAAAACTTAATGTGAGTGTTTGATGATTTTTCTAAAATAATAGACCAATATTATTTCAGTTCGAAGTCGTACTCGTAAGAAGAAGTTGGAGGAAACTGTTTGTCCAGTGTGCAATAAAAGAGTTTCTGGAACTCCTGAGGAGTTGAATGAACATGTAGAACTCTGTTTGAAAAAGGTAAGTCTGTCTTGAATTAAAACTAGGTTAAAAATACCAAATCTGACCTTATTGAATTATTTTACTCCTTTGAATTTGTGTAGTGAACATGCCAAGCTTTGAATGTAGTTCTGTCCCATTAGTGCATTTTCAAATTTGATCTACCAACGGTATGGAGACTGTTCTGACTTTACGCATCATCTAATTATTCATTTATCTATAAATGCTGATTTAGAAATCATGTGGGATTTGTAGTTGATCACTTGTGGGAAAATTCATAATCACAGGTTAGTTATCCAGGAAAGCAGGTCAGGTTGACCGAGTGCCGAGATATAACAAAAAATGAGTTAAAATTGGTGTAAAAATAAAAAGCATTAAAAAAAAAATTTAAAAAAAAATGTACAAATTAATTGGCTTGCCTGAACTTCTTTGTGGCTTTGGTCTGTTATAATTGAAAATGTGACACAAGAGCTCAAATGGTTAACATTATTATGTATCAGATGTTTAACATATATATATACGCTGAATAACTGTTAACAATTATATTAAATAGTTTACCTATATATCAAATTTGTATAATATATTATAGCGTGATGATGAGCTAGAACCTGTAGACGTAGAGGCGGAGGAACAATTTGAGGAATACACATGGGCGGGACAGACGCGGATACGCGCATCGTCAATGTTAGATGGAGGATATGCTGGTAACTATTTTAAGAAATGTGTTATGAAATGTAAACGCAAATCAAAGATTCTTTACTTTTCTGCCATACCTAGAACATTACATTTTTTACCCCTGTTTGAAAAGTTTGTTAATAAAAATGAATTTAAATTGAGCCAGAGAAAGCTTTTGTTAAATAAGCAGTTTTAGATTTTATCTATTTAACTAAGTTGTTCAGAAATATCTGCAGCCACCCTATATTATAGTCTGTAAATTTTAGCACATATTTTCTGTGACATTTTGGTTTACAACAGTATGTCTGCGGCCATTTTTCTTTCACATTTTTTTTCCATATATATAAATTTTGAGAAGTTAAACAAGAAAACAAAAAGCAAGTACTGGTAACTAACACTAGTCACTTGGCAACTTCTAGTCAGTATGTGACTGAAATACAGATAAAATTGTCACCAAAACCTGACATGAAGAAACAAACAATGAAACATGAATTCCGATAAGTCGTGTGTCACAACCAAAATGGCTGTTTTGATATACAATGTATATTGTACAATAATAATGACAACATTGTATGTTTACAGGCTCAGGGTTTCAGGTAGCTAGTTGTAGCAGTCAAGGTCAGGACGAGGACTGTGATCTCAACGTGGACGATGACGACTCCGAGAAATACGGCAATCCTCAGTATCCTTCTTACATGTAGACCAGATTTTTTCCCTCGTTTTAGATAGGTTCATGGCACTGACCCATTCTCATTGGAAAATTGCCTTGCCTCCAAAAAAAATTTAAAATGACTGTAAAAAAAATCAATATTTGGTTGTTTGATTGTTGATATTTTCTTCTTTTTCTTTTTTTTTCAAAATTCTTGAAATTCCTTTATTCAAAATATTTCAGTTTGAGGGGAACCTGACCTGTACTGAAAATTAGTAAATGCTTTAAACATTGGTGATACCTTTGACACCCAGGTATATCATGCAATAGTTGACTTTAAATGTCTTGACAAAAATTGTTTTTTTGTATGATGTCAATTTTATACAATAGTTAACTGGTAAATTTAATAAAGGACATTGCAAGACTTAATTTATTGATCAAGTTGATTTTGATCATATGCATACCTTTGGCAAGCATAATATTGTTTTATTTAACAAATTCAACAAAAATAATATTCTATCACATTTCTAAAATAACAATGTACAGAAAATAAGGACTATTTTTTCATTAACACACTTACAACTTGTAACAAAAAATTGCTACTGCTTTTAAGAGCATTTAAAAAAGGGGTTTTCTGCATTTGTATATGTTAAGTTCTTTAATCGATGTAAAGATATAGTGAAGTAGATGTGATACCATGTGCTTCTGATGAGCCCGGTGAGGACAGGGAGAGAGAGGCACTGAGAGGGGCTTTTTTAAGGTAGTTAAATAAAACAAAAATCTATTTGTCTTACAAATTAGTTAAGAAAAAGATCTTTGATTTTCCTGAGTGTATTTTAAACAAAATTTCAGCAAGCATTTATATATTTTAAGTTATTATATTAGAGTATGACATGTTTTTGTTATACACTCCTGTGAATAGAGGCTTTGTCAGGACAGCCATGCTTGTATTTTTAAGGAAAATAAATGAATTATACCAATAAAGAATGAAATCAAATTTGTTTTTAAATCTCCAGACGTCATTTAGTTAATGTATGTTGATTTTTTTTTTCAGTACGGCTGATGCTCCAACCAGTCTGAAAAGTCACAGTAGACTCACAAATACAGGTAGTAACTGTAGTTACAAAAAAATTTGAACTGTCGAGATCTTAAATGGGAATCGAAAATTTAATGCAACTGTTTCTTATTAAAGCCAGCATTGATTTTTATGTAAATTTTTGAGCAGCTGATTTTTATGCTTAATTTTGGAAGGCAAAAAAATTGGCGTCAGTATGTAGGTCAGGTTAAAAAAAAAGATTGTAATACCATTAAATGCTGGTGATTGTTTCACACAAACACAAATAAATTATAATTTAAGAATATTGTAAAGTTGGTTTGTTGTTAGGATTGGATTATACAAAATGAAATAATGCTTAAATGCATTACAATTTTGCTTATTTTCATTTAGATATAGAAGGTGCTTATAACCCTGAAGATAGTGTGTCATCATCACGTGTAAAATGTGAACCTAATGATGACAAAGATTCCGTGGAGGAAGTGGGGGGCTCAGCTGGACAAATTATTACAGCATTAAGGTGTAGACTGAAGGAGAAAAACGAACAACAAACCAGTCCAAAATGTCTTATCTGTATGGTAAGTATATATGGTACAAATGCATGAATTCATGAACAAGAGTTCTGGCCCTTTGTTGTATCAGCAAGGTAAACTTGCTAAAGGGTGTGAAATTGTGAAAACAAATTTACTCGCATTTCTTCCTGTTGCATGAATTATGACAGTTTTGGCCCTACATTATATCAACAAGCCAAACATGCTCAAAGGGAGAGCAACTGTGTTAACTCTCTTTTCATGATATGTCTGTACTCACATTTCTATAAACAATATCTCTGATTCCCTTGAATTGCAACCAAAGTCCGCAGGAAAGATATAATCTTTGGATTATCTTTATCAAATTCATGAAATATTATTACCATATTACTCCTTGCTTATATCTTATTGGCATGATAGATGAAAAATTGTGTAGAAAAACTATCCCTGATAAATCCAGGTGGTCAGATATTGATATTTGAAATGGTGCTTTGGTGACTTAATACCATATAAGTTCAAAATACTTTTTCAACATGGTTGATGTAGGATGTATTACTTTTCATCTCAACTCTCTCATACTGTTAAAGGTGGGGCGTCTGTGACCAAGTAGTTATGGCCGTTGACTTCAAACCACTTGTCTCTCACCGCTGTAGTCGTGCCAGGTTCTTCAGAATTTTCATGTGAGGAAGCTATACAGCTAGCTTATGGAACGTCGGTGGTTCTACTCAGGTGCCTGTTTGTGCCTTAAATAATGTACAGAGGGGCACCAGTAAAGCTGGAAAGTGTCAACTGCTGACAGCCTTACGTGCAACTGACTTCTTTAAGAGAATATAGAACTTGTTTGACTTTTCTCAATTTTTAGCTCGACTATTTGATAAAAATAAGTACAGGTATCCTAGTCACCCGAGCATTGGCTTTACCACTTACGTTAAAGTTTTTGTAACACCTAAAATATTTTCAAAATCCATTGATATATGGCATTGAAACTTTGCACACTTGTTCACCATCATGCCCCCAACCTGTAGACACGAGGAGGTAACTCTATCAAGCATTTTAACAGAATTATGCCCCTTTTTCTTTTAGAATTTGCATTAAAGTTTGCGTACCACCTCAAATATTTTCATTGACATATGTCTTTGAAACTTTGGAAACTCGTTCACCATGATGACCCAAACCTTTAGACAGGAGGAGGTAACTCTATCACGCATTTTGACATTATTATGCCACTTTTTACGACTTAGAATATATGTTAAAGTTTGCATACCACCTCAAATATTTTCAATGTCCATTGACATATGGTTTTGAAACTTTGCACACTTGTTCACCATCATGAATCCAATCTGTAGACAGGAGAAGGTAACTCTATCAAGCATTTTGACAAAATTATGCCTCTTTTTTTGACTTAGAATTTATATTAAAGTTTGTGTACCACCTCAAATATTTTTAATGTCCATTGACATGTGGCTTTGAAACTTCACACACTTGTTCACCATCATGAATCCAATCTGTAGACTTGAGGAGGTAACTCTATCAAGCATTTTGACAGAATTATTCCCCTTTTTTGACTTTGAATTTACATTAAAGTTTGTTTACCACTTCAGATAAATTTTCATATTTCATTGACATCTTGATTTGAAACAAGTTTAAATTTTATACACTTCTTTGAGAGCACTCTCTCCAAGGCCTATAACTGTAACATGGATTTGAAAAAAGAAAAATTGGCACTTTTGTTAAATCAGATAATTTTATATTATCAAGGATCTTTTACTATCAAGCACTAATTATAGGTGAGTATGCTATCCTACTGACGGAATGGCCAAGCAACCATAGAGAGTTTGGTCTGCTTTTATGAAGGCTTACCTGACCAGGCTGTACTTCTGGCATTGGCAAATCAATGTTACTGCTATCTTTCATAGGGTTAAAAGTCTGATGCAATGTTTATGTGCTGTATGCTGCAGTTTGCATATTACAGTCACACCTGTATTAAAAGAGCACCTCTGAATAAAGATAACCCTGCAATTAAAGGCCACTTTGATAATCATTCATTGATGAAAATGGAATAAAGTAACCTCAAAAGAAAGACCACTTGTCTGTAAAAACCTGTACTTGTCTCTCCCTTGGTCGACCTTTTTTCACAGGTTTAACTGTACATTTAATGTTAACATGATGATGTTTGTATTGTTTAAGGAGCCGTACAGCAAACCAGTGGCATCCACTCAGTGTTGGCATGTACATTGTGAAGAATGCTGGCTTAGAACAATGGTTAGTATTTGCTATGTATATTAGATAACTTCTTATTGCAGTAAGATAAAAACAGAAGGTTAGCATTTCTATTACCTACATTGTATAATTATGTCTAGTGAAATTTTTGGGAGACATATTGTTTTTGCCTTCCCTATCTGTCCATCCGCATTAAGCTTGTACAGCATTCACTAGTCAAACTACTGGTTGAATTTCAACCAAACTTCACAGGAGTGATCAGTACCATGCCTTGTTGTGCAAATCGCCGGCATGTTCTGCTGTGCTGCACAAAATAACCGTCAGAGCTATAGATAGAAAATCTTGTTTGGCTTTCACAGGTCAAGCTACTGGTGTCATTCAATGAAACTTCACATGAGTGACCTAACATAGTTTTTGGAGACATATGTTATTGTGACAAAAACCCTTCTAGTTTACAAATAATATTCTCAAATTGTAAAAACTATTGGTAATCAAAGTTATGCTGCTTATTTAAAGGTTTTGTTAACTGTTAATTATGTCCTGTGGATAATGATAAGTTGTTTGATTATATTCTGTAGCTGTGTCACATTTATCAGTTTAAATGGGGTAAGGGCCGTTTTTAGCTAAAAACAGGTTCGAAAATTCAGTAACTTGTGACCCAGGTTAGTATTCGATAAAGAGGAGAAAAAGTTTTAAATTGATTCTTAACATTACCTTAGTTTTTCATAACAAGATATGACAATTTGTTTGTATTTTAGTTGCACTTAATGTATTTTTTTCCGATATGATCGAGTACGGTACGAACATAACCGAAAATAGTCACTCCATATTCAATCATTTCGAATACAAGAAAATGCGAACAAAATGTCTTATCATAAAGAAATAAAGTTAATGTTGACTATCTAAGGATTTTATAGCTACAGTCGGTTAAACATTTAACATGGTTATCTGGTCTCCGTTTAAATGGTTAGCATGCTTTCGTACCTTGACGCCCCTAATATCCTCTAAGTTTGGTTATGTTGAATGAAATTGATAATAATACAAGTAGTATAAATGTAAGTGTTTTATTGTTTATTACAGGGAGCCAAGAAGTTGTGTCCACAGTGTAACATGATAACTTCTCCAGCAGATCTACGCAGAATCTATTTATGAAAACATTATGATAATTTTTAAATTTGTGTTGTTATCAAATCTGGTTTGTCTTAACCAGTAACTGCTCTCAGGGTTGTCATTAAGAGGCCAAAATGACTGTCTCAAATGCATTTTGGGCCACCTCCAACCTAAGAAAACACTCTTTATTATGTGTGATAAAAACAAACTAGAGGTAGCGGAGGACAAAGAGAAACCACACATCACCACCTAATAGGTTGAAATTATTTATCAAAGTCTACTAGTTTCGATCAAACATGATCTTCATCAGGACAAATAATAGATAAAATATACCATGAAAGCGCTAAAAAAGAGTTTTCAAAATGTTACGTCTGTTACTATAAATAGTAACATGTGATACTATTAATAACTTAAATTTGGAATGTTGCCAGAAGTTTTTAAGTCTTAAAAATAAAAATAAAATCTATAAATAGAACATACAGTTAGTTGTGATAAAATCAAAAATAACTGCCTCAGATTCAAAATAAACCTTCATGAAAATATCTTAATGACAACCCTGCGCTCTTCAAGACTTGTTGAATGGTTTATGAAGTATCGTCTTACAGAGTAAAGATGTTTTAGGATTTTGCAAAGGTGTAAGAATGCCTTGTGGTAATATAACAAGACATTATCTGTTAAAATTCTCCTTATAAGGTACATGTACATGTAAGTTTTGAAGGCTTTTTTAAATAATAAGACGTTTGACTTTTTTCTAAGTAAAATATTTGACTTAAGTCAGAAAAAGAATGTTCCTTGTTAGAATTCTTGTCTTAGAGGGACTTTACTGAGGTTTTTTGAAGTGAAGGGACCAAACATATTTTTTCAAGATTTCTGTATAACTAGATGTATGTCTAGACCAGAATTAATCAACTTTGTTGTGCAAAATGGCCCAAAAAATGAAAACCGTTACAACGCTTTTCACTCAATTAGGCCAAAAATCGCATTTAAATTGATTATCAATTTAATACTATGTATGTTTATATATCTATTGCTTGGTTTCAAATCTAAATGTACCAGTTGATTTAAGAAAGAATTTCAAAATGTATTATTTTAGGATATTGGACCTCAGTGGAGTTCCTTTTACTGTGACTGAAACAAGACATTGAATGTTTTATATTTCTAAAGGTGTAATACAAAGAATGTATTTTTGGCATATATATGGCCAGATTCTTGTTGATTAACTTTTTCTCAATTATATCGCATTATTTTTAAAGACAATAAAATGTTTTTAATTCTGGATACTAAGTTGTTTCAATACATTAGAATTTCACTTTTCTATAGATTTTATAGTGCTTGATAATTTATCTTATAACACTTTCCACACTAAATTTCTGAAATAGACTTGTCCAGCCTGCTAACTGGGCCAACTCATTCATCATTTTTAGGGAAATTTTTTAAAATTTATTTGACTAAATAAAGAAAACAGTGCAGACCATGATCAGATGACATGAATGTGTTAAACTTTGTCTGCACTTGTCTTAATGGTTGCATATGTTGTTGCCTTCAGGCTAATGTTTTAAGTTATTTGGACTTGTCAAATAGAATTGATCTGTGTATTATATGTAATATTAGAGATTGTTTTTGTATTTGTTTTCTTTTTTTGTTTGTTATAATGTATACAAATTAGTACATATATTAAATGAATGAAATTCATGAACTAGTTTAGTTTTCATTACATTTTTGTGTCGCCTCTACGGAGTAGTGGCGACATATAGGGATCACTTCTCCGTCGTCTGTCTGTCCGTCTGTCTGTCCGTCCGTCACAAAACTTGTCCGGACTACTGCTCATAAACTACTGGTGCAATTTCATCCAAACTTTACAGGAATGATCAGTACCAAGTCTAGTTGTGCATATTGTCAGCATTTTCCGGTTCAGTGATTTTTGTCAGAGTTATGGCCCTTTAATAATTTTTAATTTTAAAGTTTGTCCGGACTACTTCTCTTATACCACTAATGCAATGTCAATGAAACTTTACAGGATTGATCTGTAGCTCAAGTCCTTGCGCATATTGCACGGGTTTTCCGGTTGAATGATTTTTGGCCGAGTTATGGCCCTTTGACAAAAAGGTGTTTTTTAGCTCACCTGTCACAAAGTGACAGGGTGAGCTTTTGTGATCGCTTTTCGTCCGGCGTCCGTCCGTAAACTTTTACTTTAAATGACATCTCCTCATAAACCACTAAGCCAATTTCATCCAAACTTCACAGGAATGTTCCTTTGGTGGTCACCTTTAAAAATTGTTCAAAGAATTTAATTCCATGCAGAACTCTGGTTGCCATGGCAACCGAAAGAAAAAACTTTAAATATCTTCTTTTAAAAAACCATAAGAGCTAGAGCTTAGATATTTGGCATGAAACATCTTCTAGTAAGTGTCTACCAAGTTTGTTCAAATAAAAGCCCTGTGGTCAAAATTGGCCCCGGCCCGGGGGGTCATTGATTTTCCCTATATGCATATAGTAAAAACTTAAAAAATCTTCTTTTAAAGAACCCAAAGAGCTAGAGCTAAGATATTTAGCATGAAACATGTTCTAATGGGTGTCTACCAAGTTTGTTCAAATAAAAGCCCTGGGGTCAAAATTGGCCCCGCCCCGGGGGGTCATTGATTTTCCCTATATGCATATAGTAAAAACTTAAAAAATCTTCTTTTAAAGAACTCAAAGAGCTATGGCTAAGATATTGAGCATCAAACATGTTCTAATAGGTGTCTACCAAGTTTGTTCAAATAAAAGCCCTGGGGTCAAAATTGGCCCCGCCCAGGGGGGTCATTGATTTTCCCTATATGCATATAGTAAAAACTTAAAAAATCTTCTTTTAAAGAACCCAAAGAGCTAGAGCTAAGATATTAAGCATGAAACATGTTCTAATGGATGTCTACTAAGTTTGCTCAAATAAAAGCCCTGGGGTCAAAATTGGCCCCGCCCCGGGGATCATTGATTTTCCTTATATGTGTATAGCAAAAACTTAAAAAATCTTCTTTTAAAGAACCCAAAGAGCTAGAGTTTAGATACTAAGCATGAAACATCTTCTAGTGAGTTTCTACAAAGTTTGTTCAAATAAAAGCCCTGGGGTCAAAATTGGCCCCGCCCCAGGGGTCATTCATTTTCCTTTTATGTGTATAACAAAAACTTAAAAAATCTTCTTTGGAAAAACTCAAATAGCTAGAGTTTAGATATTAAGCACGAAGCATCTTCTATTGAGTGTCTACAAAGTTTGTTCTAATAAAAGCCCTGGGGTTAAAATTGGCCCCGCCCCGGGGGACATTGATTTTCCTTATATGTGTATAGCAAAAACTTAAAAATCTTCTTTGAAAAAACCCGAATAGCTAGAGTTTAGATATTAAGCATGAAACATTTTCTGGTAAGTGTCTACAAAGATTGTTCAAATAAAAGCCCTTGGGTCAAAACTGGCCCTGCCCCAGGTGTGTCATTGTTTTTAACTATATGTGTAAAGAAAAAACTTGACCAGCTAGATCTTAGATGTTTAGCATGAAACATTTTCTAATGGGTGTCTACCAACTTTGTTCAAATAAAAGCCCTGGGGTTTAAACTGGCCCCGCTCCGGGGGCCTATATACAGGTGAGCGACTTCAGGGCCATCATGGCCCTCTTGTTTCTGTCGTTGCCAGATACACAAAAGCTTTACAGGAATGATCAGTACCAAGTCTAGTTGTGCATATTGTCAGCATTTTCCGGTTCAATGATTTTTGTCAGAGTTATGGCCCTTTAATAATTCTTATTTTTAAAGTTTGTCCGGACTACTTCTCTTATACCACTAATGCAATTTCAATGAAACTTTACAGGATTGATCTGTAGCTCAGGTCCTTGCGCATATTGCACGGGTTTTCCGGTTGAATGATTTTTGGCCTAGTTATGGCCCTTTGATAAAAAGGTCTTTTTTTCTGTGTGTTGCCAGATACGCAAAAGCTTGTCCGGACTACTCCTCATAAACTACTGGTGCAATTTTATCCAAACTTTACAGGAATGATCAGTACCAAGTCTAGTTGTGCACTGTCTGTCTGTCTGTCTGTCTGTCACAAATTTGTCCCAACATGAAATTGGCCATCATGAGGCGACACATGTGATTACTGATCGCTCTTGTATTTTCATAGAAAATACTTTGTACACATGCATGAGGCATGAAAGAAATTTTGAGTAAACAAACAATTATTTTCTTTTACATATTTGCTCAAACAGCTTTTATTTATTGCCTGACATTTTATAATTGGAAGGAACAAACTTTGGACAGTCACAAGGTCATGGTCCCCTGTGCAAACAACAGATTTTAACACAGCCTTTTTTCTACCAATGGTTTTCATATTATTTTGTTGGATCATTTATTATATGCCCGAAAGGGCATATCATATTATACCCCCTGGCGTCCGTCTGTCCGTCGGCACTCACAGGACAGTAATTATGTGGCTAGAGGGACAATAGGTAACTGTTCTTTCTCTTTGAGTCATTCATTCCGTAATGCTTTTATGTGGCTATTTTCTTTTGTGTGTCTAAAAAGAACAATAGAGTAGCCACATTATTACTCTCCTGTAAGAATGTCTGTTAGCAATTTGGTTTCCGGAGCATAACTTAAGTTCCATTTGGCCCACAATATTCAAAATTATAGGATGATTGTCTATATTGGGTAGAAGGTCACTGTCACTATTACCTTAAAACTGAAAACAGTTACGGAGCATAACTAAAGTTCCATATGACCCACAATATTCAAACTTCATAGGATGATTGTCCATATTGGCTAGAAGACCCCTATTGATTTTGGGGTCACAAGATCAAAGGTCAAGGTCACTATTACCTTAATAATGAAAACAGTTTCAAGAGCATAACTTAAGTTCCATTTGGCCCACAATATTCAAACTTCATAGGATGATTGTTCATATTGGGAAGAAGACCCCTATTGATTTTTGGGAAAAAGGTCAAGGTAACTATTACATTAAAACTGAAAACAGTTTCTGGAGCATAACTTAAGGTCCATATGACCCAAAATATTCAAACTTCATAGGATGATTGTCCATATTGGGTAGAAGACCCATATTGATTTTGGGGTCACTAGGTCAAAGGTCTAGGTCATTATTACCTTAAAACTGAAAACAGAGCATAACTAAAGTTCCATTTGGCCCACAATATTCAACTTCTTGGGATGATTGTCCATATTGGGTAGAAGACCCCTATTGATTTTGGGGTCATAAGGTCAAAGTCACTATTAACGTTTAAAACAGTTTCAGCTCAATAACTTAAGTATTAATCAACCTACAGCTGTAACATTTTATAGGATGAACAGCTAATTCCCATGTCTTACAAATGCTTCATCCTTACTAAAAAAACACTTTCGGGCATATAATGCTCCGCCTAGTGGTGCTCTTGTTTCTGCATTGTTGTATTATGGGTCTACTTATTAATATGTACACAGAGCATGCACTTGTAATATATAACACAGACACGTGTTGCTAGTTCTATGGTGTTGTTAATGACCACTGAAATGTTCGGCGGGAAGATAATGGACATACGCATTACAGTATAAGATACAGTATTAAGATTAAACATATGTATACAATACACAACATGTATCAATGTACACAAAGAAGCAATTAAAAAAAAGTCGAATATGATATACATTCCTGCCATTTCTTAGTATAAGAAAGATATTGCTTGTTGAACATGTATTTGTTCAGCGCTCAGTACTTGATAAAGCTTCTTTCAGTTCTGGGAAAATAGTAACAAGTTTATTTCTGTATACATGATAGGTGTATGCTTTGTCTTGGTAGATCTCTTGTATTAGCGTGTTTAACTCGGTCATTTTGTCAACCATGTCAGTCATTTTGTCAACCATCTCAGTTCTCTGATCTGAAGTATTCTGCTGTAGTAGATAAACAGTCTCCGTAACTTCTTGGCACCAGAAGGAATTAATTGTGAACGCTGGTATACTGATTAGGTTGCTTGATTTGAACATGGATATGATGGAGACGAAACATTCATATAGAGAAAGTTGCAGCCCGTCGTATATCTTAGCTTGTTCAAATATCAGAAGTTTCCAAGCATAACTTGATAAAGATTCATTGCGCTCTGGAATTGAAACAACTCCACTGATAGATAAACTTACGGTTCCTGATTCCCCTATGTTTACGTAGTTAGAACAGGTATGGTCAATGGTTCCAAAACATTTCATCAATGTGTAACAGATGTACCAGTTATGGTATGCCGAGATCTCGCTTTTCCACTGTTTCATTATACTATTTTCGTAATCAGCAAATGATATTGTAAAATTTGAAAGAGCGAAATCTTTCATCATTTCATTATCTTCCCCATCAAAGGCAACTACCACTGTTGAGTGAATTGATCTACTCTTCATTGGTATAAGATAATACTTTGTTGGTAATTCATGCTCGCAATCGTTTTCATCGTTTTGGTCAAACTTTGGCACCTGTCTGCAGAGTTCCTCATCTTGTAGTACAACTACAGGAACTAAGTCAATGGAAACAAAATGCTCGTGACCTGAAGGTGAAATCCACACAAGATGGTTGTGTAGATGAAATGCTGGTCCTTGAAATCCGCTGCTGCAATGGTCATCACTTGGATCAAGCATTTGTAAACGGTAATTACCTCTTTTGACCGGTTCTGTTTTACTTAGGGCAGCAACTGCTTTTGTGAACTTCATACAAAAATGTTGTAAGAATGATGTAGATTGCACCTCAGCTTGATTTTGAAACAATCGGCGAAATCTCACGTCGCATGGCTTTACAACAAGTCTTGGACATTTGCTGGTCGGAAAATAAAGTGTGGTCGGGTTGGTAGATGGCTTTGCTTCAAAGCCCGGATATGGAATTTCGAAAATGAAATCGAATTCATCCGGTTTGCATATGCTTGTACCATCTTCCATACTTCCTACAGGTTTTAAACACTTCTTCAAAATTTCATTGTTGTAATCATCAGTGAATTCAAAAGCTTCGATGATGAAACGTTCCATCATTTCTCTTGTAGCACTTTTCAAATCAGATATCTCTGACGCCCACCTTTCTTCTACCAATACATCCTTAAAAAGTTTGATAAGAAAATCTTCTACATTTTCTTCAAATCTGTTGGTACTCTCTCCTGAAAGAATAGAATAGCATACGATAGACCTCGATTCGTCGACTTTTGTCCTTTTTTCATAATTATAACATCACCATTATTATAATTCTTTTGATCATCACGATAAGGAAACAACATTGTAATGAGATCAAATTGAAAACTTAAAACGATATAGGAAAAGGATATTTTATACATCTATTGATCTTTATTTTTGATTTTTATTCAAGTACAATTATGGTTTAACTAAACGAATTTCATTTTTCTTTCCTTGTTTTACTTTCGTTTTTTCTATTTCAGTAAAAATGAAAGTAGCTATCAAATTGTTTTAAAAAGAAGAAAAAACCTTGATGGTCACAAACGAATTTAATTCGTATTAAAGATACAATGTATTGAGACCATTTTAAAAAGCGATTAAGCAGTAAATAATTGAATTACAACAAATTGTGCATTCTTTTTAAGAAAACGAGAGGAAACGACATGTACGTACATATAACAACTTATATTTTTCTGAAAATAAATGGAAGACCCCCCTCGAACACACGGACGCGTACATGCACACAATCATACACGCTTAAATAACTTTTGATTAAAAAATGTCACTACCAACCTCGCTTTGTACGTTCGTAGATTATAGTAGAAAAATTCATATTTCCTTTAATGTATGTGAATATATGTCTAGCTTTCTTTGTGTATTGTTTTAAAAGATTCGGAAATTACTATTAATCTATAAATAAATATTTTCACATCGTTTATCTAAACTTCCTGATTGGAGAGGTCATAAGTGTGGGGTCATGCACAGCATCAAGTCTGGAAAACACCGCCCAATTTTTTATAATTAGTAATTATGATTCAGATTACATGTACTAATTCATAGAACTCGTTTAAAAGTACTAACTCAGAATTCAAGAGCTATATAAATACTCCTGTACTAAGACAATATTCTAGATAGAGGTTTTCAGATTAAAAGACAACATCGTATTTTAGTTAAGAGTACCAAAGGGCGTAGGAAGACTTCTCATTTCCCGTCGGTAAATTAATGTCTTTGAGAAGGCACGTGCCATTGACAGAAGATTTGAAGAACTCTAGATGGCGAAAAATAAGTCCTTTTCTTTTACGGGCTCATTCTTTAATGTGAAATAAGAAGAAAAAAACGAGTTGTTATTATTTTGGTCCTAGTATTTATATACGATGCGGAATCGTCTCGGACTGATTTGGAATAAGTCCCCGTTCCTGAACTGATTTGGATTAAATTAAGATAAAATGGAATTTTTCGCTTGACAAGGTAAGAAAATATATAAAATAAACACATTAACATCTTTTCGTCTTTGAATATTCTACTTGCACGGAACATTGCAATGTGTAAGGAATTCATATGCAACATTATAAGGTTTGCATCAGTTGGAAACGCCCGTTGCCTTGCGTTCCCTTAATATGAATCAAGCTTAAAATCCATTTTATCTTAATCCATTTGTAATCAATCCGGTGCAATAAATCCTAATCAGTTCAGGAACGGGGAAATGTTCCAAATCAGCCCGAAACGATTACACACCGTGGTATTAATTTCTATAGTAATTTCCGAAAAAATCGTTTGGAACAAAAAAACACCGGTTGTAAACACGCAAATCAGAAAATGTGTTGGAAAGGGCCACCGTTTGCACCAGAAACGAGTATGCGACATTGGCACGCCCGTTTAACTCACAACGAGTGAAAAATGTCCATCGGTTAAAATGTTTGTGAGCAACTTCCGTTCCTCGTTGTGAGCATCCATCTTTGACGAGTGACACGATAAACAAGGTGTGTTTTTCATAATTTTTGATGATTACTATGGAAGCCCTGGAGGGACATTTTAAATTGATATTTAAAACTTAAAACTTATTATTTAAAATTTAATTCTTAATATTTAAAATTTAATTCTTAATATTTAAAATTAAATTTTTGATATTTAATAATTAATTCTCATCATTAAAAATGGACGCGGGAAACCATTCCGTTGACAGATTGACGCCATAAGTAGCGGCAGCGAGAATACGAGTAGCGAAGGAAGTAAAGTAAGTTGGACTTTTATATACAAGAAAAACTGTTTTAAATCACACTAGGACACGCACATGCACTTAATTTCATGGTGAGGACTGGCTTGGGCGGGTTTATTTATTTATTTATTGCAAAAGACAATCCGTCCCAGATTGAAGGGTTAAAGGTCAGAATTGGGCTGAGGGGAATATAAAATAACATTTGTTCACCGCCATGACAAGGTGTGTCGCACGTTAGACACATGCTCAAAGGTCAAGGTCACATTTAGCGGTCTTTTTATCTCATCTGGAGTGTTGTCCTACTCGCCCGGCGTCGGCGTCCAGATTTCAGATTAAAGTTTTGGTGCAGTTAAATATTTTTCACTATAACTTTTTTCAGTTCTTAAGATATCTGCTTCAAACTTCAAATATATGTTTCTTATCATCAACCACATCTTATATGTCAAGGTTTATAACTCTAGCACCAATATTTTCCCCTTGAACTAAGAATTTTTCTTAAAAAATATTATTTTTTACCGTTACTTCTTTTTTTTCTTAAGGATCAACTTCAAACTTCAAAAAACATGTTCCTTATAATTAACCACATGTTATGTGACAAGGTTCATAACTCTCGCACCAATATTGCAAGAATTATCTCCCAATAAACTTAGATTTTTTTACTGAAAAATGTTATTTTTTACTATAACTTCTTTAGTTTTAAAGGTATCCACAACTTATTTCTTATCATCAATGAAATCTTATGTGACAAGGTTAATAACTCTTGAAGCAATATTTCAGATTTATCTCTCTTTGAACTTAGGATTTTCTTTAAGAAAAATTTTAACTTCTTTATTTTCTAAGGTATCTACTTCAAACTACAAATGTATATTTCTTATCATTACACACATGATGTGTGACAAGGTTCATAACTCTAGCATGACTATTTCCAGAATTATTCCCCCTTGAACTTGGAATTTATGTTAACAAATGTTATTTTTTACTATAACTTAATACATAATTATACAAAATTTATTTTTCTTACATAGTTTTTTATTCTTTACTGCGTCCACTATTTTATTAGTCGAGCTTTGCTGTCTCCTGTGACAGCTCTTGTTTATACCTACATTGACTAGTCCATTTTCTGCTATAAAATAAACATTACAATCAAGCAGGCTGGACATGCTGCCCTTGGGGATTTAGGTACTGTAAATCTTAAATGAAAAGCCTTGATTTCTTGTTTTTAAGACAAGTGTTTTAGGGCTACCATCATCCTATTGGTTTGATCATTAATTTGCATTGGAAAGTTTTATTACAAGACTTATAGGTTGTATAGTGTGCTTTTAAATGCCTGCAGTTTGCAAAAACCTTGCCACCGGTTTGGTAAACAAAACTTTAGATGTAGATATAAAGGGAAATTCCGTACATCTAGCAGATTATATTCTCGAAACATAAAGTTTGTGCTCAATGAAAGTAAAATGATAAATAAATACAATGTCAAAGAAGAATCTATGCTGAACGAAACCTCATTTTACCACAATTTATCAATTTAGAGGCGTTCTGAAATAAATTGCTTCAACCCATTAATTGTACATCAACTCTACATAAATTATTTTTACAGTACTGCAAACATATTTTATCAGCTGATTTTATCGATAATGATTGGGAATATATAGCTTAAACTTTAAATTTAAGTTATAATATTTTCAAAGATTCTATTATATATGTTTTGGAGTTTGTTTAGTTTGACATCATTTGTAGAGTATGTCCCTCTAGGCCAAATTTGTATGAAATTGGTTGTTAATAAAAGCTCTAATATATTTTAGGCAACTGCTGTGAAGAAAAGCAGAGGACAAAGCAGTGCATATACAATGGAAATGGGATGGCAGAACTACCGAGATGGAAAGTACAGAGTTGATACTGAAGCAAAAGGTGGATAAGCCCGCGTGATGTATTACACATTTGGGGATAGTCTGGCAGTAGAAATAATAAGATATCAAGCGCTAAGTAACTATTTCCCGGACGGAGAAAGTAAACATGGACAGTGTGGAGGACTACGACTTGTCATTGGCTTAAGCATCAGGGCAAGTGATTGACAGTTATACTGTTGTAGACCAAAATCTATGCAGTTTCACAGAGTATTTAAGAGCTAACAGTTTGTATGCGTCACAGTGCTGTATATACCTGAGAAAAAAAGGAGAACTAAATGGAGTCCCTATAGAAAAGGGCGACAGAACTATTATCATAAAGTACAGCAAAATTAAGCACTCATTATATTCTGAAGAACAATCTGAAGTATTTGCCAATCAATATTGCGGTGCTTTAATGCGTCTGGGTGTCCAGAGAAAGATAATTCATGAAAGTGATTTGTTTGAAGATTGGTATGTGGTTTCTAGAACAGAAGTACAGAACAAAGTCTTCCTAGAAAGAGATGGAAACGTTTATAATTGTTCAGAAGCTTCATGGCAGCAACATTTTGTATTGAATGGGCCATATCAAATATTTAGTTTTTAAGTTCATGCTAGTAATTGTTTGGTTCTTGGTAAAAATAATAATTACATTCATTTAAAAATGGTTGATAAATGGAAATTTATTTTGTAGTGGTTTCAATCGTTGTTCTTAAACACCTTTATCTATGTAAAAGGTTTGGGTTTTTGTACCTGCCAAATGCTCAAAGCACATTTGTGGTATATGTTTATTTTTTGTTCTATTTAGTTGCAAAATAATCATTTTGTTGAACCTTCAGTCCTCACCCAAACGGCAAACCTTGCTATGTTTTTAACTTTTGAATGAATACCCTTTTATTTTTATGTTGTATGCTGTAGGTAGTTACCCCAACTTGTTATCAATTGGAAATTGGACCTGAAGCGATTATTCATTGATGAGTGTAGATACCTAGCTTTGATTTTGTACTTTGATAAGTCAATGTAATAAAAGAGTAAAAGTTTTCACACTGACTTTGCTGCCTTATTTTTAAGTGGACTGTGATTATACTTTTTAACAAACAAACAACTATAACCTATCTATACGCCATCAGTAAGGGAAACAAATATTATCATCCATACTTTTCTTGCTGTTATTTGTCTCAAAGTAGCAGTGCATAACTGAATGGTTTACCTGCTGACTGCACTGTAAAATCAGTGAAAATGCTTAATGCTCAGGGAAAACATAAGGAACATTTTCCATTTGATGGAAACAGTTATTTTGCGTTACTTTGGTAACAGTAGCATAAGGGATGATACCAAAGATGTCAAAGTACTGTACTACTATTTCTATCACGGAACCTGTGACCAGATATTAATTTCTTGTAACCAACTGTTTTTAAAAAATGTCGAAAATGATGGGGTTTCTCGTCATTGTTAATTTCAGCCATTTTAGCTCACAAGAGTTAGATTTTTTTACAATAAACGCAAAATAAACAAAATATAGATGGTTTAAAGCTTGTCACAGACTTAGTGGATCAAACAGTAGTATACAAACGTCTGTTTGCCAGTTTATTTTAAAACAACATTTTAGATGCATAATTATATTTGCATTGAAAACTGTTCAGAAATTAATATTAAGAATTAAATTTTAAATATTAAGAATTAAATAATAAGTTTTAAGTTTTAAATATTAATTTCAAATGTCCCTCCAGGGCTTCCATACATTTAACTTATTTAACACATGATATTGCACAGTTTACAATAGGGTGGGTTTGGACTTGTTGTTTCTCCACATTATGGTTGTATGTGTGCTTAAGAAAAAGAAACA